TTTTTTTTTTTTTTTAGCCAGAAAAGATATCTCTTGTGTGTTATTATATAAAACATATTTATTTATCTGCTTAGAGAATTTACTGTCATCTAGGTTTTATCTCATCTTAATATAATGCTAAAAAATACATCAGAGGTTTCTTTGGGAAGAGAGCAAACAGGAGGTGGGTGGCATGCCAGCAGATTTTATTCCTTTTTTCCCATAACATCATTTTTCCTCTGCCACCTTTGCAGCCAGAAGAGTTGTCAGTACTTATCACAATATGACCTAAGAACAGTTTATTCCTTTTGAAGCATCTCACTTCATTAACCAAACACTTAGAGAATTTTTTATTACATTTCATTAATTCGGGGGTTCAGAGAGAAATTTTGCTCCAAGGACAAGAAGTTTTGAATAATAATTCTCAGATATTTCTGATTTCTCAATAGAAGGAAATAGATAACTGAGCTAGGATAAAAAATAAACATGCAAACTTAAGCTGTGAAGTATAGAAATGGTGACACTTTCAACCAGGGTGCTTCCTATTATCAGCATCTGAGTAGTCAGTGCAACTGGGTGCAGTTCTCGTCTTTAAAATCCCTGTCATTTCCTGTGGAAGCTGCAAGGCCAATGTTGAAAAACCTCCATGTGGGACTCCAGATATCTAGCGAATGCATTTTGAAAGTGTGTAAGCTCTATCAACCCATTTTACAGTATAATTTCCCTGCTTACTGATAAAAACAAAATCTATGAGATGTTCGAATAAGAACATGAAGAGCTACCATTTATTGGGTATTATCAATAATCCTGTAAGGTAGGCATTATTATGCCCATTTATATTGAAAAGTGATGCTTAGAGATTAAATAAGTAACTTGTCCTAGGTGACAACACTGGTAGAGAAGCAGAATTCAATCTTAAGTTTACCTGTTCTGCAGTCCTAGCTCATAACTGCTAAACTAAAATACTGATAATACAAATAGTAGAAAGTTGACTTTTCTCCCAGGGAACTACTTAATAGTAACTTAAACTATTTATTCACTGCGAAGAGATATACTTTTAAATTTGTGAAGGACAAAAAAATATTTGCTTTATTGCACCCTGAAAAATAAGAACCCAGTGTTGGAAGCAAGGAAGACGGGCCTCTCCACACATTCCAAAAAGAACAGACTGGAATCCAGTTGTGATAAGCACATCTCAACTACACAAGCTCCTCTCACCTTTAGAGGGTTTCAATACTAATTGAATTAAAGAATTCAGGGAAACTGAGGAATTGCCCCTTCCCTTGTGAGCACTGTGAACCAAGGGGGGAAATGCAACACTTATTAGAATATTTTAATGAAAATGTTTTTCTTGGTATTTAGTGCCGCTTTTCCACCAAGTCAATGTGAATAGATATAGGGTGATAGTTATGTCATGAGCTATTTCTTTAATTAAAATATGTGTTCTTAACTCAGTTGGATGCACTTTGCAAAATAAACACCAACAATGAACAGATAAAATGACTAAATGATTGGTAAACACCATGTAGCTATGGAATAATTATATGCCCTGTGAAATATGTAGTACTTAATAGTTGACATTATTGAGGAAACCTAAGAAATGAACTTGTAATTTGTACTTATCAGATGTTAAGTCCAAACAAACAGTTAACTATCCTGTTATTATATAGAAGTGTCCTATCATTAGATACCTGGTCAATAATAACCATGTAATTAGCTACATATATCACACCACAAAGTAAAATACATAATACCATTGAGAGAGCAAGAAACAGTTGATCAATTTAACACAGTTAGGAAGGAAAAAATGCATTTAAATATNCACACCACAAAGTAAAATACATAATACCATTGAGAGAGCAAGAAACAGTTTATCAATTTAACACAGGAAGGAAAAAATGCATTTAAATATAGTGTCTAATGCATGCATGCGATCGTCCAAGAAGTTTCCCAGTTATCTGCTTGACTGGCTCCTTCTCACGATGCAGATCTTTCTCAATTCTAGTATCAGCTCCTCAGCAAGGCTTTCCTTTCTAAACTGGTCCTCGGTTCCAACCCATGCCCCAAACATCTTCTATCCTATCGCTCTATTTTATTAGCATCATGGCACTTCCCATTTCTGAAATGACCTTATTATTTGTTATTTTAAAATTATTTACCTTCCCACCCCAGCCAGGTGGCTCAGTTGGTTGGAGCATCCTCCTGTCCACCAAAAAAGGCTGTGAGTTCAGTTCCCACCAGGGCACACACCTAGGCTGCAGGTTTGATCCCCAGGCGGGGAGCCTACAGGAGGCGATCGATCGATGTTTCTCTCTCTCATCTCTCTCTCTCCCTCTTCCTCTCTGTCTAAAATCAATGAACATATCCTCAGGTGAAGATTAAATAAATAAATAAAAATATAAATCTTCCCAACAGATAGTGAACTTGTGTCTCTTCATTAGCAAGGACACTTTGTCTACCAAATAACTGTCTCTGCTAGAAAAGTGACGACGTGTGTTTGTGCAACACAGTCATTCCAGTGTGTGGCACTCCAGTAACCCACTGGAGCGTTTGCTACTGAATGAATGATTCACCCAGGGTGTGCAAGGCAGTTGGCCCGAGGTTAAAAAGAAACAGGCAAGTTCCTTGTCCCATGGGCCTTGCACGCCGAAACACTGAATTCACCGAACGCGCGTTTTCAGAGTGTTTTCCAAAGCAGGGAACATTTTTAAAAAATATTTAATCCAAATGTGCGGGCGTCTTCGCTGCTCTCTGCTGTGCGCGCCTGCTCTGCCCGCGCAGCCGGCGCCGAGCTGCGGGAGCCGTGTCTGACCGCGCCTCGTTGCTTCCGCAGACCACCACCTTGATCGGCCTGCTGAAGACGGCGCGGCTGCTGCGCCTGGTGCGCGTGGCGCGCAAGCTCGACCGCTACTCGGAGTACGGCGCGGCCGTGCTCATGCTGCTCATGTGCATTTTCGCGCTGATCGCGCACTGGCTGGCCTGCATCTGGTACGCCATCGGCAACGTGGAGCGGCCCTACCTCACCGACAAGATCGGGTGGCTGGATTCCTTAGGGCAGCAAATCGGAAAGCGCTACAACGACAGCGACTCGAGCTCTGGGCCGTCCATTAAAGACAAATACGTCACCGCGCTTTATTTCACCTTCAGCAGCTTAACCAGCGTGGGCTTCGGGAATGTGTCGCCCAACACCAACTCCGAAAAGATCTTTTCCATTTGTGTCATGCTGATTGGCTGTAAGTAGACTTCTCTTGGGTTATCTGTTCGGACAAAATAGTATCACAAAATTGGTATCTCTAGACCATGTAAAATAAGGGCAAGAAAAAGTATAGGGAACTGTAGAAATAGTGGGATTATATATTTGGGTAGCATAGCCTATCAGATATGATTCTGTCTTTGAAGGGAAGACACCAAAGGTTTTCAGGACCTCAGGAAAGCACAAGCATTTAACTGGAGTGACATGGGTCTTGGGATTCAGGAATTGAGAGTTGCTGTTCGCTTTTCCTGCTGTAAAACAGTGTTCATAATTTATTACCAATGGTTACTTTCTATTTCATGCTGAGGCAGGTTAGAATGGGAAAGATTAGCTTACATTATATTGCTAGATATACTAGACTAATAGAAATATATGTATGTTATCACCACCATCATCACCACTAATCATAATGTAAGTTAATCTTTTATATATGAATATATACTTTGTGTGTGTGTGTGCATATCCTTGTCATTGACTACAAATTCCTTTCCCTGGGACTCTATGTCAAGGCCTAAATGATTGACCTTTACCTTGTAATTGAGTAATATGAGTATTATTTATAAGGAGCATTCTTTGGAATAAGAAAAAAATCTGTATTAAACTAAAGATGTTTTAATGTTAACATATATATATTTTTAAATCACACTTTGGAACCACTAAAGATAACTCTAGATATTAGGCAGCAATTGGGAAAAGCATGATGAATTTATAAAGCTTGAAAAGGGCATCATCCTTAGATTGAGTACAAATTTGAAAACAGGTCCCAAGAGTTGATTCTTAAATGTTAACATATTGACTAATGAACTGTACTTCGATAAGCTTTATTTATGAAACTTAAAAAGATTCACCAGTTTATTGTCCACGTTATTTAAAATTTACTTTTAACATATAGGTCTTGGTGTTTGTCTTTTAGTAACATTTAAATAAGCAAAATCATTATATTTAAGTAACTCAGACTGAGGCTTGGTTTTGGATATAAACGCAGAAGTAGCATTGCACCCAGAAGGAGATGAAAGCGGGGCCCACTGGGAAAAATGGAAAAATCCATCCCAGAGAAACTGAACTTCTCAGAGCAAACAGCCCCAAAGAGCCTGTGATTACAATTACGGCTGCTGGTAAACACTGTTAGTGGTTATGAACTTTAGTGGCACACGTAGCACACAAAGAAAAGAAAAACAACTGCTGTCATCGTTTTATTATTGAACACCTATGTAGAAAAAAATATACAAACTTTTCTAAAAAAACAAAGCCCACATCTTGAAACATAGAATTTATAAGAAATAATTTTTTAAATGCACTGAAGTTTAATCTGTTCACCATTTAGAAATTCCTACCACTTGGGAGAATTAAGTGAAATACATGGTACTGTTTATGGTGTGAATTATATTAAGTTAAAGAAAATGCAGCTCTTGCTCTGCACCTAATCTTTAATTCCTAAGTCAGGGGGTAATTAGCCATTTTCATCTTTGGTTGCTGTCTATTTTCCTTCTTTCCTCTTTCTTCTTTTTAAAATGTGGCATGAGGCTCTTCTTATTGATTCTTTAAGAATGTGTCTCCTGCAGACGAATTTTTTATTTCAAAAAAAAAACCAAGAAACACTCCAGTTAATTCGGTAGAGTAAGAGACATCCACTCTCCACATGACAGCCTTTATTTGAATAACCAACTTGGTTTTACAAACCTTAATCAAAATGGGATTATACAAAGCTTGATGCCACAGGGGAACATTTTATAAATATTCCTGAAGAATTCTATCATGACCTATTAAGCCATGAATAAAGAAAAAAGTAAAATTAAGACTGAAATTTAATAATAAAAAGAATGTCACTGATACTTGCTTAGAAATTTGATGTATATGGGTGTGTCTACACATAATATTTCCATTGAGATCCTACTGTATATTTCTAAACTAAGCACGTACTCCTCATATCTATGAGTGACCTGATTTAAAGCTAAAAATACAATACAATATCTAAACACATGATGTAAAATATTGTATATGTTCTAATCTAATCATAGTCTAGTTTATATCAGGTTGAACTCTCTCATCCTCCCTGAGCTTCTTTAAGTCTAGTCTTCATTCTAAAAGAAAAATTTGAAACCAAGTTGTAGAAAACAAAACAATCAGCCATCTCTGTTACAGTGATATGTTTCAAGCAAACTAAACGTTAAACACTAGAAGCTATCATCTAACTAAACAGAAACAAATATTGATAGATACATTTTTTAAAGCTGCTATCTGCAAAGACAGTTGCCAATTGTACTTCGAAATGTGTACAGAGAACAGTGATCAGAGAATTTATTTTAAAGGTATACACAACGCCAAATATTTTTAAATAAAGTAACACACTCCAAATAACCTATGATTCACAGAAAAAATCACATAGAAAATTAGTTCGAACTGAATTAAAATGAAAATAAAACATATCAAAATTTGTAAGAGGTAGCTAAAATAGTGATCAAAGTAAAATTTATAGCTTTAAGTGTTTTAATTAAAAAAGGAAAGGTCTAAAATCAAAGATCTAAGCTTCTATCTTAAAAAGCTAGTTAAAAAAAAAGCAAATTAAACCTAATATTAGTAGTAGGAAAGAAATTAGAAATAACAGCAAAAAATATTAAAAAGCAAAACACAAACGGAGAAAATTAATGGAAGTAAATTCTGGCTCTTTTAAAATATCAATACAATTGATAAACCTGCAATTAAACTGAAGAGAGAGAGAAGTCATAAGTTACTAATATCTCCTATGACAGAAAAGACATTACTACAAATTCTAGACATTAATAGGATTATAAAATAATATTTTGAATTATTTTATGATAATAAATATGACAGTTTAGATGAAATGGACACATTCTCTGAATGATACAAATTACCAAAACTGAAACAAACAAAAAATAATCCTGAGCCATAAAATAAAAATAAAAATTGATAAATTTGATTTCATTAAAATTAATAATTACAAATTTTTAAAGGCCACTGTTAAGAAAAGGAGCAAGTAAGTGATAGACTAAAAACAAAATTTTTAGTACTTATATATGAAAACAGACTTGTGTCCAGAATATATAAAGAATTCTTACAACACTATAATAAGAAGATAATTTAAAAGTGAGCAAAAGATTTATAGAAACATTTTTCAAAAGAAGATATATGAATGGTCAATACATACATAAACAATGTTATTATTCACCAGGGAAATGCAAATTAAAATCCTAACAGGACATTACATACCCACTGCTATCCTTCAAAGGAGAGACTGATAACAGAAAATGTAAGAAAGGCGGTGGAACGACTGATATTACATATTGCTGGTGAGAGTGTAACACAGTTTTGGAAAATAGTTTGGCAGTTTCTTATAAAGTTAAACATACCATACAACTCAGCAATTTCACTTTTAGGTTCTAAAAGGGAAATGAGAATGTATTTGTACACAAATGTTTATGGCAATTTTATTCATAATAGCCAAAAACTAGGAACAGTGAGATTTCTAGCTACAGAAGAGAGAAACTGTGGCATATCCACACAGTACAAATATGCTCAGCGAAAAAAAGAATGAATTACTGATACACACAACAATATGAATCTCAAAAACACAATGTTGAGCAAAAGAAGTCAGACACAAATTAATGTACATTTTGAGTCTATTTAAATGAAATTCCAGGACATGGAAACTAAAGTTCAATGACAAAAAGGACCACAATGGTTTCCTAGGGTCTGAAATGCGTAGGAAGACAGCCAAGGGGCACAGGAAATATTTTGGGGTAGCGAAAATGTTTTATATATTGATTATAGGAGTTTATAGGAGTTTATACATTTGTCAAAACTAACTGAACTTTTGGAACAGATTCATTTTATTAAATGTAAATTACACATCAATAAAATTTTTAAGTTATAATTTTTTTAAGTTTGTGTAATTTGTAGAAAAGCAAGTGTATTTGTTCTATCAGCACGTTTCAGCTAATACCCAATGGCCAACCAAATTCATTAGTTTGGTTAGCATAGCAGGTTTGAGGTGTAGTATGCTGATGGAATTTTTAAGATAAATGGAGTTTTTTCCTATAATATCTAAATCTAAAGCAAATAGTTTTCATGAAATAAGAACTTCCTATTAAAGAAAGCTAAATAAAATAGTGAGTTAGGAAAGAAATGCCTATAAATAGTACTCCAACGTGCTTGTGACTGATATTTTATGCCAGTTGATGGGCATTGACTAAATCATGTGTACAGAATACAGTCATCTTGTGCTTTTCTCTTACTGACAGTCTTTAGCTCCCTTTGCTTCCTTAAAAATATAGAAAAAATCATGTCTCGATCATAATTTAAGAAACCATCAGCATAGAACTTCTTAAGAGAAATACAGGTCATTCATGTATTCAACTATGTACTTATAATCTAGATTTTACCATCTTGTCAATGAGTGGAAATACTGGTTTATGACCCAGACTAATGTTCTGGCTATTTCTTATGGCAATAGGCACATAAAACCTCAGTATTTATTAAATATGAAATAAGAATGTTTTCCCTGACTCTTCAAGTAATTATGTGGTTTAGGTAAAATAACTAACATTGATTATGTGCCCACTGATTAAATCAAGTGAATTCAATCTGTACTGTTTCCTGAGCATATGATAGGTGCTTTGGAGACATAAAAGCATCCATAAATATTTCCAACACTACAATTAGGAAGAGTAAAATATATTTTTCACATGAATGTTCTTGGATCCCAGGAATCAGTTTCAGGCAAGTATTGCTAACTCCCTTCCTAATCAACTATTCATTTACTAAAGCTAGGCTCATGTCTTTTTTTCTGTGGAAGATACAGGCTAAACAGTTTGTCTGCCTTACTGAGGCGTATTCTCTTTCCCACATCCCAGTTCAGCCTCACTACAGATGACCCCCAACTTTCATCCTTTTAAATAAATAAAAGCAAAGTGCCACCCCTTTCCCTGGGGCATTATTGTAGTAGGGACACCTGTGGTAAACAAGGACCATGTTAACCAAGAGACAAAGATAAGGTGGAAAAGAAAGACAATGACCAAGAAAAGTCACTTTAAAACACCTAGAACTTGGCCAAAATCTACTTTAAAAATGATGATGTGGTTTATAGAGATAACATTTTATAAAATGTGTTGGGGAAAAAGATGTGTTGGTTGAATATAGTTGAATCAAGCACTTAAAAATGTTTATAGTTTCCCCCCTGCTTGGTATATTGCTTTTCCAGTGCCTTAAACATATACTACATTGTCTCCAATGTTCTGACACACATCCAGAGATCAAGGTAGAGACCGTGTACCATGATGTGATTTTCTGTAGAGTACAGCACTTTTTGGGATCATTAGAAACTGAATGCAAACATAATAAAGAGAAGATGGCAAAAAGCCTTATGTTAAATTATAAAGATTCAGCCCAGGAAGCACTGAGAAGGGTATTCCACCTAAATATGAATATATAGAAGGGTTGTCATAGCAGTTTCTTTCTTCCCAGAGATGAAATAACAAAGATGTAGTGTATATATTTTTCTCCATAAAAATAAAACAGTTTTTTCATATTCTAAGCCAGAGATATATTTCTCATGCAAAAACCACTGTAAAAATGGATTTTAATAGATTAAAAGTTATATACTAATACTCTAAGGAAAGCATAAATTCTTTAAAACAATGTTTCATTCCTTAGCAAATCCAAAATATTCAAAAAAATCTTAAGATTTATGGCAGATTTTTAAAAATATTTTAAGGTTAGGTTTGAGACTGAGAGGTAGAGATGTCACAATTTAAAAATTAACATTTTCACTCTAATTCCAGAAAACATATCTCTGGTAACCCCATGATATCTTATTACATTACAAACAAAATATTTATTCTAAATGCATTTTATCTCTAATCAACACTCCAGCTTACAGGTTGATATTGTAAACAATCTGAGTTTTTACTTTAATTCAGAATCCATCAGGAATTTAGATACTTTTCCTCTCCAGATTTGTCATCAAAATTATAAAATTTACAACTGGATTGGCTTGACTTTTTTTTCTCCATGGGTCAATGGTAAATTCTCATAACTGGATTGAGATCATCAAAAATTAACATACTTGAGATTCTGACAAGATATAATATGCTCAAGTGTAAACTTCCCCCATAACTTTGTTTTTTATCCAATCCAGCACTAATGTATGCAAGCATTTTTGGGAATGTATCTGCAATTATCCAAAGACTATACTCGGGAACTGCCAGGTATCACATGCAGATGCTGCGAGTAAAAGAGTTCATTCGCTTTCACCAAATTCCCAATCCTCTGAGGCAACGGCTTGAAGAATATTTCCAACATGCGTGGACTTACACCAACGGCATTGACATGAACATGGTATGTATTTCTGTTTCCAAAACGGAAGTAACATAAGCATTTTAGCTACAGCCAAAATGGAAAAGCTAGTCTCACCAGCTTTGAACCCCTTGCTTTTGTTTTTCTCTCTCAGATGTTTATTTTCTCCCCTGGAGATAGTCTCTCATTCTCAATTCATGGCATTGCATGGTGCTATATTCTAGTTATACTGTGTGGCAAAGGCATTATAACATGATGCAAACTGATATAACTGTGTGCAGTAGAGTTCCCACTTCTGTTTAGAGAGAGCATTGCTAAGCTGGGACCACATGGCCTAGCTACCAGGACAGCAAAAAATAATTGGACCCATTTGCATTAAGATTGGGCAAGTAAACAGTAATAACTATGATGGCCCCAAATAGAGATCCTATTAAAAAAAAAAAAAATAGGACATTTTGAGAATTTGTGGAAGAGGTTAGGAAGCTTAAGTATGTCATAAACACCTTATGATAGGAAGTTTCACGATTATGCTATGGAAGAATTTTCTATATTTTAAAAAATTAATTATGTGCCCTTTTACTGTATCTGGTTTAATGTATCTTTCCTTTCAAAGGGGAAGTGTGGATTCCTTCATTACTTTTAAGCAAATTCAGCATCAACATTCACTTTTCATAACCATTTCTTCCTCTAATAATGCCCCAAGTCAACACAATTAGAAGTATCATTAGGAAAATTGCATACATTTATTTCATCTAGCTGTTTGGCTTATAGAAACTGATTGCTAGAGATGAATTATATAACAAGTCCAAATTCTATGACATACCATAGACCTATTTTTAAAAAGATGAAAAATATGGTGCCTTTCCATATAGCTATTCCTCCACTGGCCAAGGACCTGTTCCTAAAAATATTCAGAAAATAAAAACCCTTACATATAATGAGAGCAACATCACAATGCAATTTTTGCATAAGTGAACCTGTGCAATTTAAAATGACTTTCTTTTTTTACTTGACTAGTAATACTCTAACCAAAAAAAAGCAAAGATTCAAAATTAGTAGTCTAGGTACTCAAATATGCAAATATTGCCCAATTTGAAAGACATATTTATATATGGATAAACTTATCTTCGTGTGTATGATTTATCTGACTGAGAAGGACATGCCATTATAAAAATTTTAATTTGAAGAGCTAATCAATTAGCACATCCTATACAAAATCATAACTGAACTTCATGAGTTATTTCTAGACATCCCACAGTTCCTTGTGAACATTTATTTGATAAATTGATCTCACCAGGGTAACACTTGAATCTCCTAAGAAAATACCTGTGAATTGATCATGTTTACATATTGTTTAACAAAAATATCACCATTCAGAAACTACTGGGGCTTCTCGAATGCTGGGTTGGCTGAAGCAGTGTCAAGAATTTTTTATCAACACACGTGTCACTCAGTTTGTTGTTTTATACTGCCAGGTTATTTCAATAACAGTAATAAAACACATATTTATTGTACCTCCCCTCTCCATATAACTCTAGTTTTGTGGCCATATTTTGTGCTAAAGTCTATTTTGTGACAACTACTTACCTTTCATTGTTTGCCTCTATTACCTATAAATATGGTTTCTATACCACTTGCCTATTTGCAATGTACTTATGAAAGATTTATCTCTTTCCTGTCTGCTTCACACCTTAATACATGGAATCACAACACCCACCGGTAAGAACAGGAGGTATTTATATCCAATTTAATTCTCGTGTACATTGTGGAGAACACCCTTGTTATCTGTCAGGTTTAGAGATTGTTAAATGGTTTCCAATGTTAGTTCTGATCTCTTTTTGCATGATGTAGCAGAGGAAATACAAAGTAAGAAACTGGGAAAGATAACCTGGAAGAGGCCAAGTACAGAATAGAAATCCTTAATTTTACCAAGACTTGACCTCAGATGATATTTATATAGTTTTCCCCTCCCTACAAAAAGTCACTTACCTGCCCTTTCCTCCACTCTGGTAAAGGTTATGGGTATACGGTTTGCATTAGATAACTGTCATAAAGAAAAAGTCATTCTTTTTCATCATCCTCTATTTTCATAATGTAGGTACTTTTCTTCCCTCTCATCTGCATGCCTGTATTACATGATCCTGAAGTGTGTGAGCTCTAAACCATGTGCCACTGAGTCTTGCATGTGGTTTTGAGAGCTTGACTTTGCACGAACTTCTTGTTTGTACACAGTGTCTACATTCCTCATCTTGTGACTGCAAAGTGAGTAAAAAAATCAAAATGCAAGGTAATTGAAAACTCAGCAAATGGAAGATGCTTGCTAATTATGCAAAACAAAGTTGATTAGAGAAAAACAACTGTACTCTTAGACTATTGAGAGGTAAAAAAAAAATCAAAATGGATTTTTTTTACCTCCAAAAACACATTAAAATCTCTGTGTCTTCTCAGTTAATTGTTTACTAAAGTGTAATATAATAATAATTTAAAGTTATTTAAATGTATGTGTTGTGATACATGAAAGTACACCAAACTGTTGTATTTTACATCAGCATTCCACCTTATTTCATTTAAGTATAACCTTAAATATAACTTCTCGTGAAACATTTCAGGTCATTTTTGCTCTTCAGCCATGTCCAAATGAGGTACAAGATGTCCAGTCACACTGTATTAACTGACTTAAAATTATTTTTTATAACCCAAAACATTTGATTCTTGATAGATCACAAAACATAGGAAAGAATTAACCTAAAATGTGCAGCCATGTTCCTTACTTCCTGCATCTTTTGTGTGTGTGTGTGAAACAGCTATTGCCAGAATGTTCCAGAGCTTAAAGCATTCAGGGAACACTTACGGGCTCCCTATCAGTTGAACCAAATGCTTCAGAGTGCAGAAGGAAAAGGGTCAGAATAATGAAAGTGGTGAAAGGAAGGTGTTATTTTGTACCTGATGGCAGGCTTAGGAATAGTAAAAATTATCTCAAAAATGCCTTTAGATCAATTCCTGAAAATCCTTTTCTTTCTACTCCCAGGAATTTGACTAATTAAGAAGAAGGAGATGCTTTCTTAGAACAGGTCGAAAGGCATCTCAAGGAATTTTCCCAAATCAATGCTGTCTTCTAACCTGATTTGAAACTTTCTAACACTACCCAACATAGATTTTAGTTACAACATTGCCAAGAGCTGAAAAGCACCTTCCCTGTCAGGGTAGAATCAAGTTTCCTCATATCACACACAGGAGCCTGGAACGACTGAAGAAGGGACCCAATAACCACGGTCTATAGGTCATTCTGGATGGAGAGAAATAATCAACTGTGGCAGAAATTACTCCATAATTTAAAACTACATTGGCAGGAAAGAACATCTTTGTGAACATTTAGTGACAAATTCTATTCCTTACTTAAAAATGCCCCCTCGATATGCCACTAACCTTGGACAAGTCACTTAATCTCTCTGCAATTTCATTAAACTTATCATTTTCAAATCCTTCTAAAGCATGCTAAATATGTAAAACTGTTATGATGGGACATTTTTGTGCTTGAAGATGGAGGTTCTAACCTGTCTGCTGCCCTCTCTCGCTCCCTGGCGTGGACCTCTTAGTCTCCCTTATGGAGTCTCCCTGCTTCATCTTATTCAAAAACCACTGGAATAAATGAGCGGTAGAATCGTTGATGGCAGAGACCCAAAGGGGACCATTTCAGCCGAAGACAAGGACAGGAATAGAAGCACATATGTCAGAGAGTACAAGGCAGAAGTAAGGCAGGAACTCCAGAAACAACTTTGTTATTTATTTTATGAAAAAAGGATAAGAATTGAGTTTTGTTTTTTGCTTGTCTTTGTTTTGGGGGGGTTTTTGGCCTTGGTATCAATGGAGACAATTTTGAGTGACAGATGTGGAAGGAGTTGAAATAAGAAACTAGGCAGAGGGATAGATTCTTCAGCAAGGCAGAGAGGCAAGCTGAAAGGCAGGCTGGCGGCAAACAGAAAGGGCTTGGCTGTGAGGCGTTAAGGAGGAAACCATGTTCCTTGCACAACATGGCCCAGTCTTCTTGGCCTAGCAGAGATTAAATTAATTCCTCAGCAAAGAGGAGGTGTAAGATAGGGTCAGAGTTGAGGAAGGAAAAATATTTAAGGATTTCAATCAAGAGTCAACCTAGTAGGCTAAAAATGCTTAGAACCACAGTGGGACTGTGAGTGACAAAGCAGACATTTATGATGGGCCCGGCAAACAAAGCCAATCAAAATGGAAACAATGCAATGCAGAACTGCACATCGTTTCACAGAAATTCTTATTTCTTGAGCCTGATGTAATTTCATAGGAGCATTTTAATGAAAATTTTATTTTCTTTCCTTACACAACTCTTTTCCAGCTTCTCTGTTAGAATAGCCTCTGCTAACTCTAACTACTGACCTTAGCTAATTACTACTTACTACCTACTAGCTACTACTGGCTACTAACTACTAGCTACTAAGTCCTTATATCTTCAACCACATTCTAACCCTACTACTTCAAAATCTTTGTTGCTCCCATTCTCTGTACTTATTTAAATGACTCCGTCTCTGCCAGACTTTCACATTCATTCATGGACTGTTTTGATAGACCACAGTGAAATGTAATGACAAGCTCTTTCAGTGATGTTCAGGTCAGCAACTTAGGTAAAAACAATCCTTGTGACATTAAACCTCAACAAAAATATAAAGCAAGATTTAAAAAATAGCATGGCTTATTTTCACCAAATTGTTTTTAATTCCACATTACTTTTTTCTAATGATTCTTTATATACTGAAGTTGATAAATATAGTCAATGGAAAAGCTTTGACTGATTAGTCATAGAACTATAAATAAAATGATTAAAAATATGGTGCCCTCATCGTTGACTACCCCACCACTGGACAAAGACCCTTTTTCTAAGAATTCTTCAGAAAATAAAATCACTCACTTCTAAAGATATCAACAACATAATTCAATTTTTTCATAGAAAAAAAGCCTATACAATTTAATAATATATTTTTGGACCAGTAATATTTTAACAAAAAAAGCATAGC